ATCGATTTACCATAGGTTTTATGGGAATTTGATTAATTCGTTCTGGATATCCCAAAAAATAATATATATGTATGTACTTTCTTACTATGTTTATTTATACGTAATAATAAAAATACATATATACACAGTCTTGCATTTTTATTAGTCATGTTTTTACCATTTGTGGGGGTTAAAGAATCTGTAATGTCAAAACCTATTAACCTCAACCTGATTTGGATGCCATTCTAAAATCGTTATTCTGACATCCTCCCACTTCTTCAAAAGATTTTTAATAGCAGATATCGTCATTAATCCTCTTTTTCAAAAGAAAACATATCTCGCCAAGTTTCTTGGTGTTCTGTTGTCATCAGTTTCCATTATGAGCTCTTCAATGCTCTTTATTTCTCAGATGTAATTTTTGTTACTCCTTTAGCTGCTTGAGTGTTCTTGATTATACTGTATCTTTCTTAGATAAGATTGAACTGCAGCCTACTGTAGATCTGTTCACCATACTGCCCAGCAACATTAGACATCTTCTGCCCACTCTCTACCTTTGCTATTATACTCTCACCTTTCGAAAATAAAATCTGACGCAAAACTTAATGGGTGCCCACCCAACAGTCTCTCCAATACTATAAAAGAATTGTTTCTGTCAGAAAAATGAAAGCTGGAATTACAAGGGAGAGTTTCAAAGTTTGGAGGAATACAATCTGATCAGTATATATTGGGTTGAGCATCAATATCGATGTCTCCCGCACTCCAAAAAGTTTCAAATTGTTGCCTGACGACAAGGGAAGACCAATTGGTATTCATTATTTTACAATGCTTCTTCTTGTGTTTGTTCTGTGAGGTGTTCGTTATCTGAACAGGCATTCGTTGTTCAAACATAAAAATCTTTTGTGAAAGTGTTCATTATCCGATTTGTTCATTAACCAAACTGTTTGTTAACTGATCACCCACTGTAATTAATTTTTGTTAATTATAGATGCATAGTCTACAGGCATATCGCCAAACCCCAGCAGTCAAAACAAAGTGAATGTAACAATGAGAAGGATGAAAAGGCTGAAGAATTCTTTTATACCCTCCATACCTCCACCTTCTGGAAATGAAAAGACAAAAAAATATATTCTGCTGAAAACAAAGGAAACCAAATTCTTATCAAACAGCCAGTGCCGTAGCAAGGGGGTGGATCATGCACCAGGCGCCACTCGCAGAGGGGGCGCCCAAATGGTCTCCAAAACAAACTATATGTGTTTCTAGAGGGGGGAGGGGGAGCCAGTTATGCTCACTATGCAAACAGCATGTTTCAATAATTGTTGCTTCTTGAATAACTACAATACATAAGAATGAAGAGGCAACTCAATAAATTGTCCTCACCGACCATATTTTCACTTCCATGGAGTTCCAAATCATTGAAACATTCAGAAACTTTGCAAATAGGTTAAAAAAATTTGATAAAAAGTAAAATGATTCTGTCTTACAAAATAATAAAGTTTGAGTTTTCAATTACATTTTTTTTGGGTTTACAGTTTGGATTGGTTATATTCATTTACAGTAATGCATCATGTGGACATTCTTCCAAGGGGAATATATTACAAGGTCTTTTATGGAAAACTGTCTCTTATTAAGATGTTACTAATGTAAAGAAAACCCAGAAAACTCCACATAGTTGGCTTGTTGGCCAGGCACAAACCTAGAACCAGCTACCAATATTCAATGGTTTTATAAACTTATCCACTAGTGAACCTTTTGAGGTTATATATAATTCTTTTATTTTCAAAATGATTATCTTACAAAATTTACTTAGTTTAATCCATTCACATTTGTGGTCTTTTTATCTTGCTATAAAAGCAAAAACAAAAAAAAAAAAACAATCAGAATTTATCAATTATCAATAGTATACAAAATGTCAGTGATGGTTTTCCTCATATCTGAATTTGAGCCTCGCTTTCCTCACATGGATTGTCATTGCAATCCTGCAATATTTCAGGGAAATCCAAGCAGTCATCATTTACATATTTCGATACATTGTGGAGAACAAAACAACAAATGATTAAAGAAGATACATGATCCAGTGCAACTCTCATTATGTAGGCCAAAATAGGAAAACTGCATTTCACCTGTCCTAAACAGTATTCAATAACAACATTCTCCTTTGTAAACATTTTGCTAAAGTGTCCTTCTTTGAGAAACTTAAGGTTGTACAGTGTCAGCATCAGAAGTACATCTTTGGATATACTATCATAACTTTATATATTCATCATAACTTTATATTCAGCACTGCATTTCCAAATTTTACTGTTATGAACACATCCAGACCAACATGCATCAACACTAGTAAACCACTCTTTGGCATTGATTGTGACCTGAACATTTATCATCAAAACTCCTTTCCAGTTGACAAATTTATCCCCATTAAGGTCAGTTTTCAAAACTGACACATCTTTACAGTCAGGTGCTCCAATACACTTTGGAATCAAGAATCATTTTTGCCAATTCTGTTTCACGCAACAAAGCCTAAGAGGAAGGTTGGAATATCAACATTTGATGTGAAAAAGAAACTTACCGCAAAGCATGAAAGCAGTACACGTGAGCAGATATGGCATCCAAGGTTATCATATAGAAGTTGATGGTGTGCAACCAGTAAATGCAATTTTCATTTCATTATACAGTATTAAGGTATTTTATTTATTTTTTTGTTTTAATTTAGTATTTAAGATATTTAATTGTTTTAGTTTCACCTTAAATTATGTGTATTTGCTGTTTTAAGTTTATCAAACAAGTATTGTTTAGGGTCTGGGAATGGATTAATTCACTTTTCATTATTTCTAAGGGGAAAACCTGATTCAGACTTCAAACAATTCAAAGTTTAAACAGCCGAACAAAAATGTACTCAGCAAGAAAAAACTAATCAAGTAACCAAACACCTTAATCATTGCTGAGGGGGATTTTAGAGGAGTACGTCGAAAAAACGGAATGTATTAAGACCAACAATAAAATAGTTGAATCTATTGATAGAAGAGTCAAAAAACTGGAAAGAACCAAGCTTGTGACTGTTTTATCTTTTATCAAGAAATGCCATAACCCCAGACCTTTGGAATTCCTAGGCTATTTGCCTTTGCTGAAACATAAAAATGGCAAGGAAATAAGGCCAATTGTGGAAAAACGTAAAGCACCTACATTTGTCTTAGAAAAAAGGTTGCATGGTTATATCTCCTCCCTACTGAAAAACAGTATATTGGTTGCAAAGGATCCTGCAATGATTGTTAAAGAGCTGTAAGATATTACTTTGATGGATGAAGAAGTGGGAACAATATTAGATTATGAGAGCTTATACCCCTCCATTAAAATTGAGTCCTGTTTGGAAGCAATAATGAAATTCTTGTTTAAATAGAACCCAGTATTGGCACATCACAGAAAAGAGGTTTTAGAGATGGCTAACCTCATATGTTGTGAATCCTTTTTCGCTTTCAAAGGCCAAACTTATAATCAAAACAGGGGAGTTCCTATGAGAAGCCCAATTTCGGGGCTTCTTTGAAAGTTTGTGGTTAGAAAAATTGAGGAAAAAGTTGTATATAGCTTCAGAAATGATATTGTTTACTACAAGAGATATGTGGACAATATCTTTATACTATGGAAAAGTAATCAAGAAATTAGTAATTTCATAGAAAGAATCAATGATAACGAAGATGGCCTCAACCTGAAGCTAGAGTAGAAATGTACCCTAATAATACATTTCTTAGATATTAATATCATCTTTAGAAAAGGACATGTATCCACTAATGTGTTTACCAAACCAATGCATAGCCCACTCTACATATCTGCACGGTCCAATGACCCATTTCGTTATAAATTAGCAGCCTTTCATGCCTTAGTTTAAAGGGCTTTTCTGTATTGTGACAATGTTACAGACCAAGTTAAAGAAATCAACAGGATTATGTGGATAGCAGAAGCATTAGGTTACAAGAGAAACATAATTACTGGTATTGTTAGAAAATTTGAGACGAGTGATACAAGAGCTAAGCAATGCCCTACTAAATACTCAAAGTTTACATTCAATAAAAGTATAGGAGTTGTCATGAAGGAGATTGCAGGCATTAAAAATTCAATGTTGATATTGAAAAGAGCTCTGAGTCTGTACAAAATCCTAAAAAATGATAAAGGGGAGGTTAGTAAAGAAGATAAAGCAAGAGTTCATAGGATCCCGTACGAGAACCAGCAGTTAGGGTTAAAAAAAGATTACATAGGAGTTACAACGACAAGCCTCAGGGTACGGATCAGAGAGCATAAGTATGATGTTAGGAAAGGATCTAACACTATGATATTGGCACAGATGGCTCAAGCACAAGGATCTGTAGTGGAATGGGAGGAAGTGGAAATCGTCAGACAAGTGAACTCTCCAACTTTAGAGAAAACTGCTGAAAAAATGGAAATATAAAGAGCAAACTGGATGAAGAATGTATAAAAGCCAGAGATGCGGAGGGTCTACCCTCAGCTTGGAAGTTTGCCATTAAAAAGCTTATAAGTAGCTTATGAACTGTAATATGATCCGTAACCGCATTAACCGATACTTAATAATTTTTATTTGTTTATGTTGTATTATTGTTTAAATATTGTATCATGTTATTTATTTTTACATTTGTATATCATTTACAATTTATTTTTCTTCTAAGTAGTTGATTCGTTATTGATATTTTTTGAATTTTGAATGTGATGTTCCATTTTAAGATGTATTCCATATTCGTATGTTCTAACCTGAAGATGATCTATTGAACTGATCGAAAACGTTCATTTTTAATAAAACTCCCTCAGCAACGATTAAGGTGTTTGGTTACTTGATTAGTTTAAACAGCCTCCTGAAACAAAAATTCCAGGAGGCTGTTTAAGTTCCAAGTACAAGGCACCACTGTAATTCTACTTTTAGTACTAATTGATGCAAGTTATTAGTTACTTTAATTCTAATAATTCACATCAATTTTAATTAATTTACATTACTAAACTTAATAATAAAGACATCTCACCCAACAACAGCATTTCCACCTAATTCTAATGCCTTCAGTCCAATCTTTCTTTGAACTTCTCCTGAAAACAAAAATTCATTTTATTTACCTTCTCACTTTAATAACTAATAAATATAAAAATTACAAAAAAACAAAATCTTTGAACTCTAGTGAAAATTTTATTTAAAAAATTTGATAAAAAATGATGAGCACCATATGATTGCAACACAATTTTTCAAAACTCATCAAAGCATAATATGGGATAAAGAATCAAGGAACACAAATACACAATTGACAAGAACCTATCTAATACAATATTAGCAACACCACCATGACACACTCATGAACTGGCATCACAGTCATATCTCCAATATCAGTACTCTTAACTACCTAGAAAAATTGAAAATTTATAAAGCTAATAACAACAGATCCACTTGCATCAGTTATGAAGATTCAGATAAACTCTCCAACATATGTCAGTCATTTTATAAACTTTAACTGGTTCTGTTTTTATATATATTACTTAATAAATAAATATGAAACAATATATGATTTATGTACCAGTACATTATATTAAAAAATTTTGTTATTTTATTTGCTATAATTTTCTTGAGAAAGGTCTTTTAACAAGACCGAACATGTTAGAAATTTTTCTTATAAACTTCAGCTGAAAGATAAGGTGTGTTCGTAAGTTTTTTGGTACATTACATTCTTCATCATTTCAGTATTTCCAAATTTTCATATGTTTTTTAAATTTTATCTTGTGTTCTTTAATGTTACAAATGTTATGTTTGAATATTCTGTAACTGAAGAAGACTTTTCTTGTGAAGGAAGCTGCAAGGAAAGGTCTTGGCATACACATCCTACTGCTCTCACAAAGAACACTGTTAAATCATTGCTGGATGACAACCATGGGCCATGGCAGGAGGCTTAGGAGAGAGAAAACACTGGTAACTATTACTCAACCCTTTTTTCCCATTATCAGGTACAGTACATCAGCCACCTGAAGAATAGGTTGACTCATGAGGAGGTACAGTTCTTCAAGGGACACAGCTGCTTCTCCAGCTATGTTGCCTGTTTCCATATCCAGGAAAATGACTGCTATCAGTTGTGTGGGGTTCCTAATGGCCCCTCACATTACATCTTTGATTATTTGGGTCTGGAGAGGGAACACCTGGAACTACAGATCATGGCAGGATCTCATAGTGTCTGCTGGCCTTGTGCACCTCATGAACTAACCAAAAATAGAGAACTCTACAACAGCCTAAGGCTCTTAATCAAAAGATACTTCTCCCAATGGGAAATAGGTTGCAGATAACTTAGCTGCCTGCCTTGGTATGCATGGTTTGGTGAGCCCCTTTTATGAAACCACTCACATGTATATTTCTTTAATATCACAGTTCTAATTGTTAATTGTCAATAAGCATGTCATTGCAATACCTATAACTATTTCCTGTATATATGTTATTGTTACTGTCTTAAATATTAATTTGTGTGATCATAATATACCTATACTTATGCAGCATAATGTACTTTTGTATCTACACTTGTAATCACAATATTCTTGGTTCTCTAAGTACCAGTAGTTGTTAATTGCATTACTCCTTATTTAGTAACATAAACCTGAAATGGAATGTATATATATGACTTTAGTTTATAACCTGTATATGTAATCATGTTACCTTTCTTTTATTTCTTAATGTTTATAATGTTTTCTTATTATATATCATGTTTATATATTGTAACTCTGTGTAATTATTAACCTCTGTAGTGCCCTGCAGAGCAGAGGTCTTGCAGAGGAATAAAGGTCTTAAAAAAGTTAGTAATTAATTAAATATGATCATGAAAAAGTAGCCCAATGTAATCCAGTGGTTTTAGTGGATTAATGTACAGTGGTACCTCAGGATACGAATGCCCCAGCATACGAAATTTTCAGGATACGACACGAAATTCGAACACATTTTTGCTCCACGATACGAACAAAAACTCACCATACGACGTTACATTAGTTCGCTGCATCAGTTTTTAATCACTTCTGTTCATCGGTCTCAGTCCACGTGTTTGCTTCGTCGTGGAAGGCAGTGGTGTAGCGTAGTGGGGCGGCCCGCTTCGGGCGGCACTTTTAGGGGCGCGGCAAAATTTCACAATAAATAATAATAATATCTTGTAAAAATTTGAACCATTTCATTTCGTACTTTTGTCGCACCTACAATTCGGACCGATTGAAATGAGCACGGAATTTTTCATTACTTATTCAGTGACGAAACTGAATTTTAGTCTTTTAAATTGAGATACGTAAATAAGGGGGCGGCGAAATGTTCTTCCGCCCGGGCGGCTGACACCCACGCTATGCCACTGGTAGAAGGATCTCATTCGATAAAGGAAATCTCGAGGTATTACCAGAAAGTGACTGATTTTATTGAAAAGAAACATCCCGAAAAGATTCATACTAGCCGTATCTCGGAGTAATGACATTTGCCTAAGACATTTTAGAAACATTTTAAAAAGTAGGCAAAGCCAAACCTCTGTGGATAGATATTTTACCAAGCGATCTCTATCCAGTGAAAGTGCTGGTGGAAGTGAAGGAAAGAAAACAAAAAGCAGTGAATAAAAATTTAAAAACAATAATTTTTTTATCTTTTCTAAGTTATTTTTAAGTTATTGTTACATTATGTTATGTAAGTTACGTTTTAGTATCATTTCCCTTCTCCCCCTCCTCCGCCAACAGTTTACACCTTCACCGTCGTCTATCCTCAAAGGTAAAGTGCAAATAAAACTACATTTTTTTAAAATCAGTTATTATTCTATTATGGTTATTTTTACATTTACAACTACAAAACGCATTTTTCAGTGTTTTCCTTACTATAGTTATTTTTTTATGTACAGTACTACTTAGCTTTAATTTGAGTGTGTTTTTCGTGTTGGAATGAATTATTTGATTTTACATGTAATCGTATGGGGAAAAATGATTCACCTTACGACATTTTCATGATACGATCTCAGTGTCGGAACGGATTAATTTCGTATCCTGAGGTACCACTGTACATGGAAGTACAGACAAACTTCACCCAGAAATTCAGTATGTCTGCTCCTACCAGGGCTAATATCAGACTATTGGTTACTAAATTCAGGCAGACAGGTAACGTATGCAAAGCATAACATTCCGGGAGACCCACCATACTGAATGATATGGTTCAATGTGTAGAAACTGCAATAACAAAGTCTAAATCATCAACCAGAAGACTAAGTGGGGTGCTCTCTGTACCACAACCATGCCTCCAAAAGTGAGAGATCTTTCATTATAAACTTATAAAATATGTATAGCACATCCAAGTGTTACATAAGCTGGAGAAGAAAAAGGATTATGCCACCCATCAAGCAATGTGTCACATACTCTTGAAGGTTATGAAACAGGAGGATATGACAGGTACTTCCATGTATGTTAGTCCACTCAAACATGCACAAACTACAGCAATTCTCTTTTCTTGGGTCAGCATGCTTCACACAACTTGCAAACAAACAATTTTGTTACCATTTTCACGAGAATGAATCGAGACTATAATCACCCTGCATAAAATTTGCACTTGCATAATATTTTTGATTAAATAAGGAGTGTTCACAATGCTGAATGACAGTATTTTGAACTCATTTCATATAGTTTGGCATTCAGCTTTTTAACCCTAGATAACTAATCATTCGTCCACACGATGACGCATTTCCGCTCAAATGTGAAATTCAGAAACTTTCCTGCGTTTTCTGCCAGTCATTCTTTTTCTACCTTAATAATTTGAATAAACAGTATAGTGTGTGATGTAATTGTGTTCACATGTCAATTAGAAATTGACTTACAGCCATCCCATAGTCCGCTCAATGAAACTTTAGTTACTACATAACTTTGTTGCAAAGGCATGTACATTATGTACATTGTTATGGCTGCAGATGTAAACAGTTAGAGAATGGCATTTATCACGTACTATTTGAAAAAAATACTGATCATCAGAAACAAATATTGGCTATGTTTTTCATAAAGGAAATAACATCTATTTTACAGAGAACAAACTGTAACATTACTATGGATAACAGGCTCACATCTGTATCTTTGGCGGATGAAATATTGAAGTCACCTTATAATTTGACCTCAGTTGGCACTCTTAGAAGTAACAAAACAGAAATTCATAAAAAATTAAAAAATTCTAAATCATGCGCTGTTGGTACTTCAATATTTTGTTACAATGGCAATAAGACATTAGTTTCATACAAAGCCAAGTCAAATAAGTTGTTTATGTTTTGCCAACTATTCATGATCAACTTAAAATCGATGAAAATACAGGAAAACCACAAATAATACATTTTTATAATAGTACAAAGGGTGCAGTAGGCACAGTAGATCAAATGTGTTCAAATATAAGTCAAAACCAAAAGGTGGCCACTATGCATGTTTTATAATATGCTAAACCTATTGGCAATCAACAGCTATGCTATCTATGTCTCTAATAACATTAGAAACAAAAAAACACAGATGTCCCGGTGGGATTTCTTTATGAAGATGGGAGACAAACTCATGAAACCCCGGCTACAACAGCAGTTACACACAGTGCCTTTGAGGCATGATATCAGAACCATGATACAGGATATTCTAGGTCAGGGGTGTCCAACCTTTTGATTTCTCTGGGCCACATTGGAAGAAGTCATGGAGTTCTGGGCCACAAATATATTGTGATCCAATTTTTAAATATACAAATATATTTAAGGATTTACATGTCTAGATTATATTAATAAGTATTAAAACTTTATCACGAAAAACGATATTTTAAAAAATTACTTCTACAGACACTTTTAATTTCTACTTAGAAATAGATAATTTTATTTATTATAAAGAAGTCAAACAAAAATTTATTTGAAAAACACAAATGTTTGTTTTATTTGGGTCTTTAATTAATAAAACAACGAAACACCATTTTAAAGTGCATTTTTATTCAACTAATATATTTATAAATAATATGTAGCCCAAAATGTAGCCAATGCGCCAAATGATATTTTTTTACGCCAAACTAAAAAAAGGGTACCTAAATTTGGCGCAAAGTAAACAAATCTTGCAATGCTGAAAGTAATATTAAATAAAGCTAGAGTTGGGATTCAGAGGATTATAGACCCAAATTCGGGGAAAGGAGAGAAAGGTCAAAATATAAAGAAGTGAGAAAGGTTAAATAGACCTTCTGTTATGCAAATATTGATCCTTAATTTTCCAACCTTTCTCACTTCTTTTTTTTTAGCCTTTCTCTCCTTTCCCCGAATTTTGGGCTATAGTCCTTTGAGTCACGACTCCAGGTTTATTTAGTATTCCTTCCTCATTCACACATTACAAATATTTGAAAATACTTCCTTTCTATTAAAAAATAAAACATGTATAAAGGTTTACGGCTTTGTAAAACTTCTTTTTTGAGGTTTATGCCGTAGAAATAAATAAATAATTTAAAAATTTGTCGGTTTTGTTTACACGTTTATTGGGCCGCATTGGAACTTGCCTTGGGCCGCATGCGGCCCGCGGGCTGGACACCCCTGTTCTAGGTGATGTGCCCAGTGTAAAAGCTCCTACTCATTCTGCATCAAATCCGCATAAAATATGCTATTTATGTCCATCAAAAGCTCGACGAATGACAAAACACCGTTGCACAAAATGCAAAAATGCATTTTGCGGCCCCCATAATGTTAACATATGTAGCAACTGCGTGTAATCTTATTTCCTAAATATTTTGTCCTTATTTAGTTCCTATTTATCAATACTATTTTGCCGTGCAACAACTTCCTATTTTTATCAAACAATTTTGATGAAATTAACATTTTTAATGCGTAGTCCGCTTGACAAATGTGTAGTTATAATGTAACTGAAAATTAAATTTAGTTATCTAGGATTAAAGCAAACATACACCCAATTTTGTTTTTAAACAAACTTTTTTACAAAATTTTCATTTAACACAAATTAGAAAAATTTCACTCTATACACAATTTCTTTTGATTTAACACAATTGACCCAAATTCTAAAAAAATAAATATGTTTTGTATTACAGTGTCACTTGCTTTGATTTAGTCAAATTCATGTTGTTGTTTTTGTTTCCAATTAGAAAAGAAATTTGTCAAAAATATCCCCAGTTACATGTATCACTTCTATTTTTTTTACACATATTCTTCTGAAATGTACCTATTGTGTAAAAATAGAATTGAGTGTATTTGTTTTTTGAATAAGAGCTGATAAAATGTTTATGAAAATGTTTTAAGAACATATTAACTTGTAACTTTTCTTCTGCAATTTCCTGAAACATTTTGAAAATTGTTTTCTGAAAGTTTTGAAAATAATTTCCTGATAATTGTTTCTAATACATAATTTTCATGAAATTCATGCAAGCATTTTGACATTTTTATCAATTGCTTTTATCTCAATTATTTCATTTTAATTCAACCAAAAACATTTTTCTAATTCAATTATAAAAGCAATGCTTTCCTCACGCACTTTTTTAAAATGCTAAATAATTCTTAAATATTAAATTGAATCCATATAAATAAATGTTACCTGACAACTTAGAAAATAATGTCTGTCTTGCTTCGTTTGATGCTCTTGGTGTTCTAATTTTATCTATCCACTGATATTCCGGATCGTCATTTACTACGAGTTCTTCAACAAATCCCAGAATTGCTTGTGCTTTGTAAGTATTTGGAATAGTATTACCTAAATTAAAAATAAATACTTAGTCCAAGTCCTTTAATTTAGTATAATAAATACTTTTATTTAATAACACAAAATTTATTAGAAGTATCCTCCTTGTTGAATCATCCCTATTATCTTCATTTTTCCCAAATACATTGTCTGACTTATGTAGGAATCACCACTTAACCTACCTACTGCACATGACTGAAAGACATGTTGAGATAATAAATAAAAGTTTCATGTCTTATTAGTGTTTGATGCAAATTTAGTGGCTGTAATACTCTGAAAGGTTAGTCATAGTGGACTTACAACATGTAGGCAGATTTTAAACTAGTATATTGGGCAGTTATTAAGTTGTCTTTCTTTTGTAAGAAAGTACCCATGGAAATCAAGCAATGCTTGGATCATGTGTACGGGGAAGCTTTGCCATCATATACCACTGTCAAATAGGCTAAATGTTTTCAATTAGGATAAATCTCTGGAAGACAATGTGAGACCCGGTTGCCTAACAGACACAATAACCTCAGAGAGTATTGGTGGTGGTATGGTAAAGGATCTGATTCTTTTGGATCCCCAATTGAAAGTGGAAGAAATGACCAGTCTATCAGGCATGAGTGTTCAGCATACACATCATGAGCATCTAGGCACAAGCAAAATAAGCACAAGATGGGTTCCCAAAATTCTTTCTGCTATTCAATAGCAAAAGCATATAAAGTGAACAGCTGACTTTTTACCTCTACAAAACAGGCAGAGTTAATTTTTCGAAATCTATTGTTACAGGAAATAAAGCTATAACCCTTAATTATGACTCCTTTTCCAAAATGAAATCAATAGAATGGCAAGACCACAGGAGTATCAAAAAAGGCTAATGTGTTGCCATCAACCATAAAGATAATGTCCATCATTTTTTGGAATTGTAAAGGCATATTGATGGTGGACGTTAAAGAAAGAAATACTAAGACACTACATTATTGTAAACACAAAATACTATCCAATGTTATTACATCAGTTAAATGCAAATATACACTAAAAATGACGAGGAAAATTAACAACTACATGCCCATTGTATGACAATGCATCCATCCACTCCACAGCACTTGCTCAACTTGCCATTCAGGACTGAATTTACTTTGTTTTAATTATTTAATTAGCCAAATTGTAGCCCAATCATTTAGGCGATTATTGGATGTGTCCTCAGATCACCATTCTATCATATCAATCTTTGAAAAATTATGGTCTTAATCAACATTTTCCCCATATTATTAATTTTTTAAATTTGAAACAATAATTTTGTTGCTCCAGTGGACAAATAATGCTTAATGCATGAAAATCTCAAATGACTTCAAAAAATTACCACCATCTGCACTTACCTCACTTTCTTAGTATTACCCAGATTGCCTGCTGCATGTCAAATAAATCAAACCATCGTCTGCAACTTTCCACCATATTGTCAGAAGAATATTTAACCCATAAAAAATACTAAAATAAAAAAAAATCATCATAAGTTCTATCATTCTGGTTTTCCATGAGAATGATATTGTGAGAATCAGATTTTGACAATTGTACGAATTAACAGATTGATATATTTAATGACATAATTTAATCTAAATTTAGTACTATTTTGGATCAATAATTTTTCCTTAAACAAGGCCCATCCATCATTCCCTTCATTTTCTCATGTGGTGAATATTATATCGTATTTTCTCCATGAAAAAGTAATATTTTCATTTTAAATTTATTAATAAATCCTTGTGTGAAGGAAATTTCTTCCACGTGTTGTTTTTGTTAAGGGAAACGTAGACCTTTTGTGTCAAAATGGCAAATTGACTTCCTTTCTCACACCCCATATCTTCTAAATTCAACCACCATCTGGTCATCCACCCCTTCGTACACCCCTCACCATCCCATTGACGTATAAAGAGCCCTTCATTTTGATTCGTTCAGAATATTCGACTAAAAGACTCATTTCCTGCGATCGGGGAGCTCTCCGCCAACTTCCAACGAAGAGCGTCTGCAACCTGTGCCCATAAAGACAAATTCTCAAGCAGATCCAGAGGCAAACGGTTCTCCAAGATTCAGCAAGTCTCCAAAGAGGGAGTTCATACGAAGTTTCCAGACAGAGGAGCTTTTCTATGGTCCCATCAATGACATTGACAAGTTCCATATTCACAAAACATCATTGCTCCAGAAGAATTTACCTGCATCTGTTTCCTGACATATAAGAAAGCTCTACCAAGACATTTGACGAGGTAATAATTAGATCATATTGTAATCTCTCTCTCTTCGCAAGTTAGGAAAGGAGTAAAATTATTCTGTAACTTGTTAATTTTTGTTTAAATTAAATTTTCATTTTGTTGTTAATATGGTCTCTTCACTGACTTGAGTCCATACTGAAGTCCTCCATGAAACAAAAGTAGACTTTGCACCCTTATAGTTGATATGGAGGCCTTTTCTTGTCGATTTGTAAATCTCATCCACTTATTCACATCCCCCACTCGGATGATTATCTAAATTAATATGAGTGTGCCTAACACGTAAACTAGGGCTGGTGTTGGGAATCCTGACAGGAGAAGACAATCTCAGGATCTCAGAGTCTCCACATTTCTTGGTTAACATTTGCCAAATAATGCCATCCTACGACCCTGTAGGTGGAATTTTCCATCCCGCTGTTGCCGATTTAGTAGTAGAAAGTCTAACCCAGACTCTCTACCCATGGCTGACCTCACAATATGTTTGCAAATTTTGACAGTGCTGTGCAAAAGCATCTTGGTATCCTGAAGTGTGAACAAAAGGAAGCAAGAGAAAAAGAAGAATACAGTACATCAAAGTTGTGCCAAACTCTGCAAAGATTCTAGCACTAACAAAAGTGAAATCACGTGCATGGCACAGGCAATGATTGCAAAAACATTCTAGGCAAAAAAAAAAAACACTTCAAATCGATGCATGAAGTTTTCATGAAACAAATACCACTTGAAGATTTCTTTAGCAAAAATTAGGGTAAACAAGACATGTACTAACTAAAAACATAGTTAAAGATAATTTAATATCTTATAATTCCAGGATAAAAAGTAATTTTAATAAAAAACAAATGCTTTCGGCCTGATTCAATAGACCATCCAGAATGAATGTTCAAATACAGAACATTTCAGTTTTTTAAAATGCATACAAACAAATCAGGAACTGCAACCAATATGTGAATGCAAGTTAAGCAAACAATGCATAAAGGGAAAGATTATTACAAATTAAAAATTTTAAGATAAAAATACAATATCTCCACAATAATAAGCTGTTATGATCTTTGGGATGGGAGATTGGAAGAGAAGCCTCAACAGGTGGTCATAAGGTGCTGTAACAAGACCTCCATGTAATGGAGGTAGACTTTGCACCCTTATAGTTGATATGAAGGCCTTTTCTTGTTGACTTGTAAATCTGTGGTTATTGCATACTGCAAATAATCCAGAAGAACCTTTCAGATGTACTGGATTATTAGCAGAATGTGTTAATCATGCTTTCTCTAACTTTAACTTCCAGTTCTGATGCATATGCAGCTATGACTGTCTGTTACCAGTTATCCTTCCAACAGTATATTTATGTTCCGTCAACCTGCTGAGCAAGGATTTATTGGTGGATCCAACATATTCCAAATCTCTGTCAAACTTGAAATCCCATCAGAGATGACTCCTGATAAGATTTCAAAGTTTGACAGAGATTTGGAACTTGCCACCTTGCTTTTGTCATTGCATAATGAATTTGAATACAGGTTTTCTGCAATAATGCATTCTGGCATTGGTGGCCTTTGCAATTTTGTGAACAAGTTTCTTGTTGTAATTAATCATCACTCTGACATGTTTCTCATGGTCTCTTTGTTGTACTGGCTATTTACTTTATGTGATGTGATTGTAACTGTTAACCAATTGTCAAACAATTTTTCAGTGGTTATCCATGTTCCATGGCTATGCATTCAATGTACCTCAGTTCTTTCTGTGTCTAGGATAGCCAAACAATAGATAAAGGCTCTTTTAACAAAAGTGCAAAAGATTGAGAACTTGAAGATGCAAAAATCAAATACACCTACAACTGCCATAAATGATCGAGCTATATTTAGGATATATAATTATAGATTAGAAATGAATTTGGCACTAGAGTGAGACATTAGGAGCCATCTCTTATTAAAATTAATAATTATAATATTTTATTAATTAATTTAGATTAATCTAAATTAATAAATTAATTCATTTCTAATCTATAATTATATATCCAAAATATAGACCAATCATTTACAGCAGTGGTAGGTGTATTTTCCTAAGATATAGGGTTTTGACTGATGTGTATATTTATATATCTATACCTTGCTAGGGTTGCAATGGCCAACTGAGTACCTTGTGTGGATGTTTCTGGCTGAGGGTGCGAGTGTGTCCCCAGTTAACGCCGTAATAATCGTCAATGGTTATTTCTTAACTTATATATGCTAGAAGAGAATCAGACCAGAGGTTATGGTAGCATAACTGGCAACACGTCCACACGGTAAGCGGGAGTTGCAGGTTCGAGTCCCGCTTTGGGCCGATTCTTTTCTTCCAGTTTAATCTAAATTAATTAATAATTATTATAATTATTAATTTTAATAAGAGATAGCGCCTAACATCTCACTCTAGTGCCAAATTCATTTCTAATCTATAATTATATATCCAAACTATAGCCCAATCATTTACAGCAGTTGTAGGTGTATTTGCTTAAGATATCAGGTTTTTGATTGATGTGTATATTTATAGATGTAAAAAACATTAGAAATTGCCAGTATGAAGAATAGACAGTAAGCCAAAATACCATTTGTCTTCATTGAAAAAACAGCATACTCACTCAGGCTTCCCCAGTCGACTCATTTGAAATCTCAAATCCAATATCTTTAACAAGATTCATTCCATTGTGAAACCCAAACACAGGTTGGATAAAATGAGTGCACCCAACAATCTCACAGTAATGGAAGTAAATTCCATCTGGTTAATTTGAAGCATCTGAAAAACCAATCAACAAATATTACCACCATCTGCCTGTCCACCATATTAGATATGATCAGGAATAAAAAAGATCACATTCCAAAAAAAAATGACAGCTGGTACAAGATACCCATGATACAGAAAAATGACAATGTCAAACCCACTTTTTACATTGTAGCACATGCTGTACATTAAAAGTTTGACTGAAAGCATAAGGAGACCTCATGAAGGCAAGAACATTCGCAGCCCATGCAGAAAAATTTTTCACTAATAGGAATACTGTACCCATTTGGCACAACAGAGTTCATCATACCTCTTGTCTGACATCTCTTTCCCTCAAAACAGACAAGAAGCTCATGATTGCAACGTCAAAAGGGCCAAACTGGATTTTTAAGTATTAAATGCATCAGTATATCTATTCTAGACCTCTAGCATTAGCGATTTTTATGCAAACTAGTTTTCAAAGCTCTGTACAAAATTATCTGATGCAGGTTATCTAAAAGTCTGAATAAATATCTTGCAGTATTCACATAATTGTGTGTGTAAAGTGGGAAATGGTCACTGCATTTCAAAGAATGGTAATCAATTTCACATTGATTAAAATGAAGTAAGACAGAATTTACCTGTACTTAAGTTATATTTATATGTTTCAGACACAATTTGTTTTTATTATCTGAAAATGAAAACTTACTGTAAAAAAACTGAACTCCACACGATGATTCTCTGTATCTGTTTGCATCACTGAAGAGGTCGACTTTTACCATAACATTTATTTCACCTCTAATACCTATAAAAAATTCAAGCATTCATAAGCAATATATAAAATTTTTTAAAGATTTACTCTTAACTAAATCTTTTTGAATTTGCTGCTTTGAGACAAAGCTTAATATTTTAAAGTTTATATAGTTTTAATGAATTAACACTTTGAAACATAATAATCTTTATAGTATTAGCATATAACTCCAATTTCATTTATCAATGAATTTCTCAGTTAAATAATATCAAAACATACATGTTAAATACAGCAATACCTCAGTATCTAAATTCCTGCTATAACAAATTACATTCTTTAGTGTCAATTGTGATATTAAATAATTAAATAATCAGGTATTATAAATTTATCCAAAGCACATTTATGTAAAGTTCAAAAGTCACTCTAAAGAAAGTAGGAAATAGTGAGAAACTCATTCTAAGTACATATGTTCGTTTGTTTCTTTAACAACTATGAAGTTCGATGATTTTTATCATAAAATTTCGGTATTAAATAAATAGTTTATTCTTCATAGTAAATTCACTGCTTCATTTTTATTTTCATTTTTATTGTTATGCTTTTTATATAAAACTATAAAATTTACAGTTTCATTGCTATTATATATTAAAGAAAACATTGTTTAATGCTCATAAGAAGAATACTATAAAAACTAATTCATTGCATTACTGCTTATAAATATCTTATTGACATCCAGCATTTTTAAAACATTAAAAATGTTTTTGACCAATTTACGGGTCTTTCTCAGTTAGTTTGTTTCATTTCAGTAGATTCTAACAGATCAAATACAAAACTAGCATCCTAAAATTAAAAGAACAAAACACAAATTACAAATTTGAAAGAATATGTGAGATCCGACCCGTATGCCAATATCCCACCTTCTTCTTAAAATTCAAAGACTGAAGAGTAGAATCTCCAACCCACCATAACTCCAAACCCCCCAAAAGCAATATCGTCCGTCGCCACAGTCAAACTCTTTTTTCCTGTGCCAATTTGGAATACCCTAAATCCACTTCTTGGATATCTGTGTGCCCTTAATGAACTTGAATTGCCAGGGAAACCTACAAAGAGGTATGATATCAAATGTGTAAGCTCTCTCTCAGCCCCTTTTAACTTGTACTCATAAGTTAGGAAAGATAGAAGTTATGTTAGTTTCGTAATTGTAATCGTTCTTTTGTTATTCAATAAATCTTTGGTTTTCTTGTTAAATGGTGTCCTTGCTCGTTTAAAGCCGACAACTTACCGACGACCCCTCTCTCCTCCTCCACTCGACCAAAGACAAACGATCCTGATTCCTTCGGGACAGAAAGAGTAAACCAGCCATCCCGACAAATGGACAGTTTTTACCAAATTGTTGCCGACCAAAAAGAGGTACAACCTCATCATACCTTCGGCGTCCACAAATAAAATATAAAATTTAAATGTAAGAAACGGTGGTATGAAACTAAGAAGAGTGTTGATAAAACAAAAATCAAGTTTTTAATCCTAGCAACATATTTATTAAAATTAAAAATTAAAAACATTTTCAATCAGTTTGGCTGACCTCCTCCAGTTAACAGCAACATCAAATAAGAGATACAATTTAAAAATGCAATGTAATGTTTGAAATAGAATAAGAACAACAAATCTAAAATAAAAATTATAAATACAGTTGAACATATCTCAAACATTTAATAATAATACAATAAATATAAGTTCACCTTTTAACAAAGAAAAAAATCTTTGCTTCAGTCATTTTCTTCCATTGTTCGCACCATCAGCAGTTCATAAAAATCACAAAAACTCACAGAGACGACCTTCATTTGTAGACTACTGCCTCCGTAGTAAAAATGCAAAAAATGAAGCGTCATCTGGTGTCTGATAGTCTTTTTACTGTGCTGTGACTATATTCTCACACTGCAAGCTAAATATGCATGTATCAACATGTGTTTCTGTTACCCCAACATTAACAGTATCACTATCTCTGTTTGTCTGCTGGTTCCAAAGCATAGATATTAAGTGCTAATACAGACAATTGTTTCTGTAACAAATATAGTTCTATCTTTATAAATAATATAATTTCATTTCACTATTTTACTGGTACCTGATACTTGTTGAAGAAAAGACATATTTTTTATTGTCAAATAAATTTCTTTTAATTTGGCAACCCCAAAAAATTTTCTATTGCAACCCATTCTGGGGATCGCAACTCACAGGTTGCACACCACTGATCTATAGTACTGTACTTGCTATTGCATTAATAAAATATAACTCCAATCAAACTTACTACTGTTTACCATGCAGGAACCTCTATCTCAAAATCAGTCTATCTTTGGAAAAGTATTTACAAAGGTATACAGGAAGCCCACTTTTCAACCCATATTAATCCCCTAAGACACTGTGGACCCACACACATTAAGCTCTCTACATTCAGACCATTAATAAGAAGACCATATACCCATTGTACCAACATCCTTAATACAATAGCAGAGCTCAATTATATTTAAAAGGATAGCAGAATAACATGGATGTTCAATTCAATTGATAAAATAATTAATTGCAATCTTTCAAAATACAAAAATAACTCAATACTGGTGAACCAGAAGAAGAGAATTGTCTTCAATTATTTTCAGACTAAGAGCATAAGGCTACGGTTACTATGGATGCGAATTCTGATGAAATTTTGTTATGACGAGTACGTCCGAAATTCTCGTCAGAACGAGGTGGTTACACTGTGCATGTCTTCTGATAGTCAGTATGTTTCTGCTTCCTGGCAAAATGGACAAACTTGATGAGTTTTATTTTCTTGAACGTCTGTTGATTAAGTTATTGTTGATAGGTGGTGGGAAAACAGAGCATGTTAACCACTTATTTTCCATAAGAGACGATAAGGGAGAGTTCCAAATGTTATATCAAGATTTGTGGGACAGCCCGCAAAAGTTTTTAGAGTGTTTCAGAATGAGAAATATCTCTGTTGTGATAGTTTTTGTCTTTCATGTCCCACAAACACCTATTCTCGAACACAAGACTAATCAATTTATCAATATCCATGTTGAAAAACCCAAAACACTTGAAATTCAATGTCAGAATGCACAAAAAAATCAAACTCATTTGAACGCTCGAATGGTTCTGACTACATCGTGCGTGTTCTGACATGCCCTTCGCTGCCAAAGTAAACACTGTCATTGCAAAACAGGTATTTTTTTGTTCGGATGAATTCATCAGAACAAAATTTCGTCAGAATTTGCATCCATAGTAACCATAGCCTAAGTCAGCAGCCAACTCTAACAATCTTACGGTGGTGTACTGACATAACCTGACCATTTTCAAAATTTTAAGAAATGATAAGCTTCCATATGATCACAACTCTGCACCAGGCATCTACATAATCCCAACAGATAACCAATGTTTTATGACAAAGCTTATACACATAGATGTCTTTTTCTTCTGCCTGTGCCTTCTCCTAGGGGAGGTTGGCAGCCAGCAAATACCATGAATCTCTATTGTGAGTCTTATGAATCATTTCTTCAGTATCTAGTCCTGTCCAGTCCTTAAGGTCATCCATCCAGCCTCGTCTTTTTCTTCCCCTTGCACTTCTTTCCTCAATCTTTCCTTCTAATGTGATTTTGGGGATTCCATATTTTTCTCTCCTCAATGTGTGTCCACAGTATGGTAGTTTTCTCCTCTTTATTATTTTTATTAATTCTCCTTTAGTATCTGCCATCTGTAACACCTTGTCATTAGTGGTTCTGCTAGTCCACTTGATCTTCAACATTCTTCTGATTGTCCACATCTCAAGGATCTCAATTTTCCTCTCCATGTCTTTTCGTAGTGTCCATGCCTCACATCCATAAAGCAAAATGGGCCAAATGTAGCATTTTAGCATTTTTAATCTTAATTGTAGATTTAGTTTCTTTTCACACAGAATGTTTTTCATCTGGTTAAACCTGTCTTTAGCTTGTCCAATTCTGCTTCAGATATCCTTTGATACATTATTGTCTGAATAAAATCTTTTCTCCAAATAGCAGAAGCTATCTACTTGTTCAAGGTTCTCCCCTCTGCATTTCATCTTTATTGTGTACTTAACTTTGCTTATGCACATTGTCTTAGTTTTCTTTGTATTTACTGTGAGTCCCATTTCTTCACTTTTTGATACTAGTTCATTTAACAGTATTTGCAGATCTTTTTCTGTTGTAGCAAGAATGACTGTGTCATATGCATATCTGAGATTGTTAATGCTTATCCTGTTAATCTTTACACCTTCTGTTCTATCTTCCAGGGCCTCCCGCATTATGTACTCAGCATACAAATTGTATAGGATTGGTGAAAGTATACAGCCCTATCTGACCCCTCTTTTCACTTCAATCCAATCAGATTCTTCATTTCCCAATCTAACTTTTGTTTTCTGATTCCAATATGCATCTTTAATGATCTTAATGTCTCTTTTGTCTAGTCCTAGGTTACAAAGTATTTCAAGTAGTTTATCATGCCATATCTTATCAAATGCTTTTTCATAATCCAGGAAGCATGCAAAAATGGGGACATTCATATCAATTGTTTTTTCAGCAATTTGAGAGAGAGCAAAAATTGCTTTTCTTGTGCCAACTCCTGTTCGAAATCCAAATTGAGTATTATTGATGTTACTTTCAATTTTTCCATATATTCTGTTGTGAATGATTTTTAGTAATATTTTGCTTATATGGATTAGCAAGTTAATTGTTCTGTGTTCACAATGTTTTATAGTTTCTGTTTTCCTGGGTATAAATACCATAATAGAATAGTTCATTTCATCTGGTGCCTTCCCTGTTTTGTATATGTTATTCAAGATGTCTGCAAATGCATCTATTCCTTCGTCACCTATATTTTTGATAAGTTCAATGGGAATTCCATCTGGTCCAGTTGCCTTACCTTTGTTCATGTTTTTAACTGAATGTCTCACTTCTTCTAACATAATGTCTGGGTGCTCTTCATATATCTCAGGTTCTTTGAAATACCTTTGGTCTTCATAAAGTGTTCGAATATATTCCTCCCATGATTTTTTCATTTCTACCAAATCTGTTGTTATTTTGCCATTTTTTTTTTCTACACATCCTGATCTTAGTGGAAATTTTCCTATTAGTTCCCTAATCTTTTTATGTAGGTCTTTGAAGTTATGGTTTCTCTCCAATAACTCCATTTCCTCGCATTTAATTTTTAGCCAGTTTTCTTTTGCTCTTACAATTTCTTTCTGTATTTGTCTGTGTGTATTCATATACATTTGTTGATTTTTATTTTTATACTTCTTTCTTTCGTCCATGAGCTGTAAGATTTCATTTGTCATCCAGAGCTTATTCTTTTCAATTTTTTTTGTATCCAATTGTTTTATCAGCTGCATTTACAATTGCTGATTTCAGTATTTGCCATTGAACCTCTGGATTTGTCATGTAGTTGCTGTCTTTGTGTTCTTTCAGTTTGTTCTTGATTATTTCTTGATATCTTGATGTAACTGAGATGTTTTTCAGTGTCCCGGTATTTAATATGTTTGGGGCTTTTTTCTGTTATTTTTAGTTTTAAATTAAGGTTGCTTACCAGTAAGTTGTGATCAGAGCCACAATCTGTGCCAGGATAAGTTTTGGTTTTAGTGATCATGGTCTTGAATCTTTGATTGGTCATGATATAGTCTATTTGATTTCTGACTATGTTTTTAGAGTTATCAGAAGCGGCTTTCCACATATATAGTCTTCTTCTCGGTTGCTCACACCAGGTATTTTCTATTGTTAAGTTGTATTTACTGCAGAATTTCACTAGTCTATCTCCTCTTTCATTCCTTTCTCCAAGACCAAATGGCCCTACAATCTCCAACTCTCTACTCTTGCTGACTTTTGCATTTAAATCTCCCATTATAATGGTAATTTCTTGTGACTTAGTGGTTTCCAGTGCATTTTCCAATTCTTCATAAAATTCCTCTATGTCTTGGTCATTTGCATCTGTTGTAGGTGCATATACTTGTATTATGTTTAACTTAAAGGGTTTCGTCAGACTGACAGCTATTACTCTGTCAGACTGTGCTTTGAACCCCTCCACAGCCATAGTGAATTTTTCATTTATTATAATGGCCACTCCATTATTGTGTGTGTTACATAGATGCCACTGGACATAATCTACAACAAAAAATCAGGGAGCACAGATATACAATTGACAAGTACCACTGTAACACTGTATTGGCAGCATATAAATTGGGAAGAAGCAAAAATTATTAAGCCTAACTAACACATGTGCTGTTTCTTATCTAGAGAAGTTGGAAATTTATGAAGCTTGTAGAAAATCCACATGCATTAATCATTGCGATGCCAATACCCTTTACAATGCTTAGCAGTCACTTACTGAAATTTAAATTTTGTTTCTTTTATTGTTTATTTTTATTATATGCATCATTTAGCATCAAAAGTATTTATCTACTCATGACCAGATATAAACTGTCTCTCTTCCACTTTAGCCAGTTTTTAATTATTCAGGTAGCTTTGAAAGAGAAAAGGATCAGTCAATGGCTATAATTTGGTTAGTGTGTCATTGAAATTATTAGATGAGATAATATAAAGTTTATGTAATCTAGAATTCTTTTCATTGATTATATCATATGGTTATATTTTATTATTTATAGTTGTGGAATTTTATATACTCCCACCACTTAGTTTTGTTTTAGTATAGTTTAGTCCTGCTGTTGAATGCATCACTTTCAAGATTCCCTCCATCCCTTGCCTAGATACTACATATGCTGCTCACAAACATGCTGAAAAGCATGCAAAATTCAAAGAGGCTTTCTATATTCTTGAAGTCAAAGATGTAGGTGGTGTCAGAATCCTGACTTCCAGGGATGCTGTGATCACACAGGCATAAACCCCATACAACCAAGCTGCTCAAAACAAGAAAGATTAAGTAAACATGAAAAGAGCAATAGAAGTACATAAAACTCTGCTTAAGATAACAGATTTGGCAGAGACCTCTTATACATTGGGTTTATGAAGATATCTCTAAAACAGTGCCTTATGGAACATAAGACTGATATAGAAAAGTGGCAGCAAACTACCACCCTGGCTATATATGCAAATGGTAATAAAATTAAACCAGAACTCCAACAAGCTTCCCTAATACAAAAAACATAACATACGAAATTAGATCAGAAATTTAGAGGTTTTAGAAATATTTAAGGCAGACAGCCAAGGCCTATCCATCACTTTAAAAAAAAGAGCATGGCAGATCATATTTGACCCACCATTGAAAAGGCAATGCATAGACTGAGTAGACACACTCCATTGAATATTTAGGAAAACTTTAAATAGAAAAACATTTGAATTTGAATATGGTTGGAGATTCTTCCATACATTCTAATCCAAAATGCTGGTACTAGAAAGATTCCATTTGAAATTTTGTACCTAAAGATGATCTTAGAGGTACACCAAAAGTTAGTATGGATTTCTCACTTATTAAAGCCTACATAAGGTTGGTAAATTTTATTATAATTTTCCTTTTTTCCTATTATTTGCATTAAATTTTTAAAATTTAAATCTAGGTAATCAAATTTTTATTTCTACATTTAAATTTTAAATTGTATTTGCTTAAATTTAAAACTTTCATATTTGTAATTTGTATTTTGTTCTCTCTTCATTTTAGGATGCTAGTTTTGTATTTGATCTCTTAGTTTTGTCCTTTTCTGTAGATTCTAACTGAGGAAGCCCTAAGAATAGATCAAGAACATTTTTAATCATTATACAAAGACGTGCCTACATCTTTCGTTCCTTGCACAATAAGAAATTTGAAAGAGATCATTGAAATCTGAATGATTTTTTCTATGAGAATCACCTACGTTAATGTTGGAGATATAAAGAAAATTTTTTTAAGTAATATTAGTGTAATTAAATGATATTAATTATGTGACTATTAAGTATTCATATACAACTTACCATGCATTGTATCATAAATAGGAAACCATCCAGACATTAAAGATCCAGTTTCTTTATTTAGGAGAGGATTTAAATCAATATATACTTTTCCTATTGCATCATTTGCACTATAAGTATCATAATCCATTACCCTAAACATTAAAAGGATTAAATTAAAACAGAAATCAAATATAATTAAATACAGTGGTTCACAAATTTACAAACTTAGCAAATTCTACAATAAATCTATTATCTCAAAACTTGTCTTAGATCAACAATTAGAAGTTCTTAGTACACATTAAAAACCATTAAAGATCAGAAATTCAAAAATGCATTTTTACAGGAAAAGTGATTAAAATTTATTTATATTTACTTATATTTAGGTAACAGCGAATTAGATAATTCTGATGTTGAAAAAAGTTCTTGAAGTGGCAGCTTTCTTAAAATTAATCTTTGCTTCACTTTGTTTTCACAAGTTCTTCAAAATAATCATGTAAAGTTCTATTCTCAAAATAAAGAGCTGCAGTCAAACTATTTTTACATCTTTGACATTATAAAATTTCCAAAGTTTTAAGATGCATTTGTTTTCATCATAATTTGTGCCTGAAACTGACTGCAGTTTAGTTCTGGACTGGATAAAAGAGATTTGCTGAAAAAACTTTGTTTTAATAAAAGTAGTACTATAATATGTGCAATAAAACAATATCAAATCCTCATTTTTAAGTTTTCTTTTAACATCTTATTTGGAAAAACTGAGAGTGGATATTATAAAATATCAAAAAGTCACTCCATAGAAAACCAATGCTCCAATCCTCATTTTTGAAATGCTTTTTGTTAAAAATATTGTCCTCCCCTTTCCAGTGGCGTAATGTAGTGGGGGCGGCAAAATTTCACAATAAATAATAATAATATCTTGTAAAAATTTAAACCATTTCATTTCATATTTTTGTCGTGCCTACAATTCAGACCAATCGAAATGAGCACGGAATAGTGTTACCACCCATCTGGTTTTCACCCAGACAGTCTGGGAATCAACTCACTTCCCGGATGAACTATTAATTTTGTCCAGGAATATCTCACACGACCTGTCAACCTTTTTTTTTTTTTCTTTTCTTTTGCTTGTACAAATCGTATTCATACACATCTCCAATATCCAATAGAGCTAAGTCATCTAGGTTACTTACATTACTCCTACCCAAGTCTCACTAGTCCCAAACTGTAACTGATTTAGAACTGGCATGCACTGCACATTATTCTTCGCATTGAAAAATGACATTACGCATGCATCGGAAACTTCTGTTCGAACAAACCTCACCTGCCGTCCGGGTCGGCGATTTTAAGAAGGTGGCAACACTAGCACGGAATTTTTCATTACTTATTCTGTGACAAAACTGAATTTTAGTCTTTTAAATTGAGATACCTAAATAAGGGGGTGGCTGACACCCAGGCTATGCCACTGCCCATTTCCAAGAACTAGGTGCAATCAATTAGTTACCTATTTTTAATCATTCCACTTCAGCTTTTTTTAAAAAATAATAAACATGTTTCGTAGAACAATGATAAAGCATAAAATAATAATATTGCATAAGCAAACAACTACTACTATTTTATAGCAGTGTTAGGTGACATTTTTATTTTTTAAATTGCCTGGAATATAAAAATGAGAACGTTTATGACAGCTGTTTAATGATTTTGTTTTTGACTTTCTCTCAAGTGCATGTACTATAAAAATTAAAGTAAGGCTTTAATTCTGATAGCAGCTTGCATAGAAAGAAAAGGGATATGGATCCTATTATAAATAATGATAAAATATAGATTTTATATTTAGAAGACTAATGTTATTGTTGGCAACAAAGCATGATTTTCAGTTGTTATCTGATGCAACATTCAGAAAAACTGAAAGATTGTTTCATAGTGTTTTCTTAAATTTTTAGGTTGCAACCAGAGTCAATCTTTCAGTATTTTATGATAAATTACAACATGTTATTTATGCCATTTATGAGTTTTAGAATTGCCATACAGAACTGATTTTAATGTTATTAAAAAAAATAATGTAAACAAGGACAGTCTGCTGTTTCAACTCCAAAAGAACAATGCATTTAAAAAATTACTGCTTTATGTATGTATAGTGGAATACAAATGGCATATTTTATACACTTAATAAAATTATAAATTCCAATACCTAGTGTGCAGCAATGAGACTGATTAAAATCAAAACACCTATGTATGGTCATTCAAATTAGAAATGGCTTTCAATAAAACACAACCTCACATCAATTTGATAATGCAAGAAGAAAATATAACAAATTGGAAAATTTTACATCATCTATTCTTTTCACATGACTTAATACCTTCCAATTGTCATTCATTAAGATCATTACAAAATAATTTAAATCATAAAAATTTTAATGTTTTAAAGAATAAAATATGATGTACATTCATTTTTTTACTTAAAACCAATACAGATGAAACAAAGAAACTCATGAAATATTGGAAAAATAAATAACAACAATTACATTTTTGATTAAATAAATAATTTTTAAGTAACAAGACACTTAAATACATAAATCCACCAAAAAAAGAGAAAACTTAGTTGCAAACATTTTCTCCCATGTTAAATGGTTGTCATCGGGCTAGAGATCTTCAAAGAGAGAAACAGGAAAGAATGTTTGCTACTATCTTTTCTTTTCTCCTTGGATTTTAATATTTAAATGTTTTGTTACTTGACATATATTCAGTTTTACTATTGTTAAAGTAATAATTTTTATTTTGAAAATATAATTTTTTTCCTCAGAAAAATAAAACAAACAACTTTTCATTCAAAGCAATATTTTTTGCTTACGAGATTTGATGATAATACATCTGACTGACTGACAAACAACTCTGATCTTCATATAAAATCTTAAGAAAATACTATTTTAACACTTTCGTACCATGTCATTTTTCTAGTCATAACCATGCAATTTCTATCGTTAACTGAAAACAAGGGCAAAAACCTTTTATCGTAAAACTAGTAACATGTATGCATATGCCTACAAATCGTAAAAAAGGATCTATGTATTAAGAACAAAGAGGGACCCATTATGTCTGAAATATTTATTGTAAAATAAATACACAAAATCATTTTACTCAAGATCATTCTGTTCTGTGTTTAATCCAGTGTGTTAAGTCCATCTTTGAGAAAAATGCAGTAGCAAAAAACATAGAAAATAACACAATGGACAAAAAAGCAATCGGAATAATGTCAAAAAAGTTTGTTCAATAAACAAATTCATGTTACTTACTGGATTAATGTGTTTTTGACTTAAATATACAATGACCATAAGTTATTGCAGTATTTTATTTGTTGTTGTAATTATTATTATGTTGGGTTTAGTGGGTTATGCAAAATTAACATCGGTGGCTGTGTACTATGCCAGACCAGAGTCAAGGCATAGCAACCAAATACTAAAATTAAATAAGTGTGTCAGTGTCTATTCAGGAATTTCCTAACAATATGGCATGTATTCAATATAGTGGCTTTCTGTAGTGTGATGTATGTATTTCCATTCAATTGCAATTTCCATTCAATTGTAATGTGTAGTGTGTGTGGTATCACACCTGTACAGGAGAGAACGACAGGTACAATAAGCACCCTATCGATCCTCCACAGATGCCTTATTTCCTGGGCGAGTTCTGTGTACTTGCTAATTTTTTCAGTGCATGTGTTTTGTACATTGTAAGTGTTTGGAATAGCTATGTCTATAATGTATGTGATTTTATTGTGTTTGTCAATGAGTGTGATGTCTGGTCTGTTGTGATAAATTTTTTTATCTGTGATTATGGCTCTGTCGTAGTACATTTTGTGCGTGTTGTTTTCCAATACTGTCTGTGGAATATACTTGTAGTATGGTTCGTGGATGTCTGCCAATTTGTGTTTCTTTGCAAGCTCTTGGTGTATTATATTTGCTACTTGATTGTGTCTATGTAAGTAATCTGTCTGTGCCAAGAGCTTGCAACCAGAAGTGATGTGTTGTATAGTTTCTGGCATGATGTGACATTTTCTGCATGTGTCATTTGTGAGTGTTGTATCTTTGAGTATGTGTTTTCTGTAGTTTTTAGTATTTATGACCTGATCCTGTATGGCAATCATGAATCCTTCCGTCTCCCCAAAGAGGCATCCCCGATCTAACCAGCTGTTTGACGCAGTTTTGTCAACAAAATCCTGGGCCAGGTCATAAGGATGCCTGCCATGGAGTGCCTTTCGAGCCCACGATTGCTTGATGGTGTCTATGCTTTTTATGTGTTGTGTCATGTCTGTATGATGTGAGTGTAAGTTTAATGGTGTGTTATTTGAGTCTGCTAGAGTTACTGCTTTATGTAACTGTGATGTTTCTTGTTTCTTGTAGAAAAACTCTCGCAGTGACTGTATTTGTTTGTAGTGAAGGTTAACTATGTCAATCAGGCCACGTCCGCCTTCTTTACGTGGAAGGGTTAATCTTTCTGTGGCGGATTTAGGATGATGTTGTTTATGCTTAGTAAGTGTTGTTCTTGTTTTCCTTTGGAGTTGCTCGAGATCTGTGTGAGTCCAATGTATAACTCCAAAAGAGTATGTGAGTACTGGGATGACATATGTGTTTATTGCTTTAACTGTGTGTTTTGCATTTAACTGTGTTCTAAGTATAGCGTTTAACCTACTTTGGTATTCTTTAATTAATCGTTGCTTTATTTGTGTATGTTCTGTTAGTTTGGCCTGTTGGAATCCTAAGTACTTGTAGAACTCGCCCTCTTCCATGGATTCAATAACGTCTCCATTTCCAAGTGCAAAATCTTCTTTCTTCAGGATTCCTTTTTCTATGTGAAGTTTTTTGCATTTGTCTAGGCCAAACTCCATTTGTATGTCCTTAGTGTATGAATGTGTGATTTGTAGGAGTTGATGAAGTTGTTTTTGTGTGGATGCATAAAGTTTTATGTCGTCCATGTACATGAGATGTGAGAGTGTAAACTGTGTTGTTTTTTCGTGTCTGATATTGTAGCCGTATTGCGTGTTGTTTAACATGTTGGATAATGGATTCAGGGCTAGGCAGAACCAGAGAGGACTCAAGGAATCTCCTTGAAAAATTCCTCGCCTAATGAATATTTCGTTTGTTTGTATGGAAGTGTTACTAACCCTGAGATGTAGTGTTGTTCTCCAGTGCTGCATAGTGTTTTCGAAGAATGCAATGAGTGATGGATGTATTTTGTACATGTGTAGAATATGTAGCAGCCAACTGTGTGGAACACTGTCGAATGCTTTTCTGTAGTCTATATATGCCATGTGTATGTTTCTGTGTTGTTTGTGTGCTTGCCGTAGAATGACTGAATCTATGAGTAACTGTTCTTTGCATCCCCTGTGATTTCTACGGCAACCTTTTTGTTGTTCTGTAAGAATGTCGTGTTCTTCAACATGTTTGTATATTTTGTTTGTGATACAGGATGTCAATAATTTGTAGAGTGTTGGAAGACATGTAATTGGTCTGTATTGTGTGGGGTCTGTGGTTTTGTTGTTTTTAGGTTTCATGTAGGTGATGCCCTGAGTAAGAAATTTTGGCATGTCTTGTGGATTGATGATGATGTGTGTTAGATGTTTAGCTAGTTCCTGGTGCAGTGATGTAAACTTTTTGTACCAGAAATTGTGAATGTTGTCTACACCAGGTGTCTTCCAGTTGTGTGTTCTGTTAACAGCGTAGCGAATGTCGTGTATGTTTATTTCAGCACAGGGCATAGTTGGTATGTTGTGCAAGTTTCTGTTCTCCTCCTCGATCCAGCCTGCATCAGCATTGTGCGTAACAGCATTGGACCAAAGAGAAGACCAATAAGTTGTGAGTTCTTCTTCTGTTGGTGTGCCACTGTGCTGTGTATCAGTGTTTGTTTTGGTACTGATTTGTCTGTAGAAAAGTTTTTCATTGTTTGTGAATAATTTATTTTGTTGTTTTCGTAGTGTACATGTTTTGTATCGTTTGAGTCTACGTGCTTTGGCTGCGAGTTTTTGTTTTAGTGTATCGATGTATTCTGTAATGTGTGTGTTGTGATGTTCATGTTTTGTGTGTGTTTTGATTTTCTTGAAAATGTTTTTGAGTTGTTTCTTTAATTTGGGTGTTATGTTGTTTTTAGTGTATTGTGTCAGCCTGCCTAATTGCTGTCTAATGTCATTTATTTGTGTCTAATGTCATTTATTTGTGTTAATGTCATTTATTTGTGTCTAATGTCATTTATTTGTGTTTATTATTATTATTATTATTATTATTATTATAACCAATTTTGAATTTCCATTATTGTAATATCACTAAATTGGAAAAATAACAGATGAAATCCTTAGAAGTATAACTATAATAATGAAACAACAATCATAAAAACTTATACTGGAGCTTTTTAAAAAATTGATATTAATCTGACTTTTTTGTATGTTTCCAGCCAATATAAACAAGAAGCAAACATCTACATAGTATGGTTGGTGTATAATATAGTTCTATATAAAATTACTTTAATCCATATTGGTTGATTTTCTCACAGCAACTCCAAGTTATTACTTAAGACTTTATTGTAGTATATTTTTAAATAGATTATACATCATGTGCATTTCAGGCTATATACTACAATAAAGTCTTAAGTAATAATTTGGAGTAGCTGTGAGAAAATCAACCAACATGGATTAAAGTGATTTTACATACAAGAAGCAAACATATTTGGCCTCTGTTGGGAGGTAGCATCAGGCTTTTTATCAAAGTTTTTGACAAAATTTTCAGTTTGGAACACTTTTGAAAGATGTTCTGAGACAAGTTCCATTTAAATTAACTAACTGTCCATTTTCTCAATTACATCATTAACCAATATCATTAATGTCCTAACAAATTTAACACCTCCTAATAAATTATCACAAAAAAATTATAAATTATGGCTCATACATGATAAATTTAAAATATTGCCAAACATATAACTGCTTGCATATGTATGTTCCAAAAATATATTTCCATGTATAGGATTGTATACAAGTGCTTTCCATGCATTGCAAATAATTTCTGCATCCTTGCTGTTTATACATCTTCCCTTACAAGCTTTTATAAATTTCCCATGTCTCCAGTGTTCTCAGCTTATCCAAGTTTAATACATTTTTTTAATTAATTTGACCTCTTCCCATATTACTAACACTCCGCCTACATCGCATATTGTGCTAGAGTAATAGTTGTCTTGTTCTTTGAAATGTTTTATTTATGTTCGGCCAATTTTTACATCCAGGCCCCGTTGCTAGATCCTATATATATACAAGGCTATTGTTAAGTCTATCATCATACAGTGGTATAAAGTACACTTCTGGTGATCTGTCAATATCATAATTAATTTGTGTTTGTGAGGAGTCTGAAGATCACAGCATTATGTTTGAAAGCAACTGAGCACTTGTTATAATGCTCTATTTGTTTGTATGTAGCAATCAGACTAGGATGGAAATCTACTACAATTACAAAAGGTTAGTTAATTAAAATGGAACTAGTTCCAGAACATCATTTGAAAGTGTTCCAAATTGAAAAGCTTGGCTAAAAACTCTGACAAAAAGCCTGACGCTAGCCCCTGAAAGAGGAGGAAAATGTTTGCTTCTCATTTATATCAGGTGCTGGAAACATGCAAAAAAGGTCAGTTTAATATCATTACAACAATTGTTAGACTTATAGTTAAATATAGATTATAAATCTAAAACTTAGCCTAATAATTCACATACAGCAATATCATTTTAGTATCATTATTAATATCAAGTACAGTACACATTGAGCTTTTACAAGAGAATCAGAGTCAAAGATTTAAAAATCAAGTAGTCGGAATCAGAGAAGTCATGTGTATTAAATGCATGGCTCCCATTATAATTACGGTGACCATACATCCTTTATTTAAAAGGACAGTCCTTTATTTCACTGCTCTGTCCTCTAACTTTATTTATTTTATAAAATAGGCATTTTGTCCTTTATTTTGTAAATTCCATGCAAAGTTTAAAAACTTTTTTAATAATATATTGAACAAGTTAGTTTCGTGTACGCCATCACGATCAGTGTTGTCATCATGTCCATATGTTGCTATATAGAGCGCAGTAGTGCAGTGTGTCGCCAACCGAACGGTCCTTTGACAGTACCAAGGGGCGGACACTCTTATGGGGATTTTTGTGATAGTTTTTTAACTTTCTGGTTGGTGGATGATACACTTGGAGCGTTGGTGAGCATTCGTCGACACTTGTCGACAATCTTCGAGAGCTCGAGCATGTGACATATTTACTGTTAATGTGCTAAATAATTGGGACATGTGTTTTATTGAAATAGAGGTGTTTGAATGGGTCACATTACTCAAAATCCCTTTGTGGATGAAGGTAGAGGAAAGCTAGATTTTTATTTCGAATCATTGGTCTGTAAATATACTCGACAGTGAATTATTTGATGAAGTTTTGTGTGTAAAAAAATATGTCACAAACGAAAAGATCGACGAATGATGACAGAATAACAAGCCCTGCCATCAAAAGTGGGTTGAGATTTTTGAACATTTTACAGCAAAAAATTGCTTTCAAAAACATTTGTAAAATTGTAGAATTTTCTTTGTCTCCCTGGATCTAATGCATCGTTGAACGAATATTTTCATTGGTGAATAATATGTGGACGAATGAAAAAACCCACTTAAAAGTAAGCACATTATTTCTGTCAAATACAACTTTCAAATAAACTGTATAGAATTTTATGACTTTTTAAAGCGTGAACCAGTGCTATTAAAAAAAATTAATTCTACTGAAAAGTATCAAAATTAATGTTATTTGAATTTTTACAATGTGTATGTATGTGTAATAAATGTTATAAACTTATGAATGTTATAAGATTTTTTAATTTTCTTTGATATGTCCTTTATTTTCTCCCAAAAAATATGGTCACCGTAATTATAATCCTACCTTATCTGAAGAGGTTCGTCTTGGAGTTCTTCGTCGTCAACCTAAATAAAAAAAGTTACAATGTAATTTCAAGTATAAAATAATTCATAATATTGTTGATTGTATTAATAGTAATAGTTTCATGTTGTTTCTCTTTGTTAGTATACACTAGAAGAAAACATGCCATAAATAAAATTAAATAACTAATTAGGTTATTACTAAAGTTTTACTTTCCAAAAGTTAAAATGTTACATAGGATAGCCAAGAATAACAACATAAGAGTGACATATAAATGCAATCTCATGACAAATGCATGAAAAATTGTTCCAACACCCCAGGAATGTATACCATTCCACCAAAGGGCCAGAGTTTCAACAAAAGAATACTCTATGTAGGAGCTACAGCCAGTGTTGGGCATTAGCTGACTAATGACTAATTTAGTCATTAGTCAGCTAATCAATCATATTTTAATATTAGTCTATGAATTGAATTGCGTATTAGTTGAATAATTTTTCAATCATAACTAATAATGAATGACTAAATCAATGACTGATAGCCTCTCAGCAAATGGCAAACTATGGTTTACTTTCTGTGTGTAGTGTCCTTGTAATCCAAAAAATGATTCTTGGTAGATGACCAAACAGCAATCAGTTAGGAGAACATTATGGTTTATTTAAAACAATTTTTTATTCAAATGCATTTTGGATTGGTTTATGTTCCCAACTCACCTTCAGTCCTGTATCTCAGGGTATCCATTATAACATTAATAAACAACATAACAATAAACTAAACATTCTTAAAACTGTAGGAATAGTTTACAAACTTGAATGCAACTGTCATAATCTGAAAACTTACATCGGCAAAACAGGCCAGTTACTAGAAATAAGAATTAAAGAACATGAAGCTGCCATCCGCCTAAAACATAACACTTTCCTTGGTACAACCACACAAGTGACAATAATTGTCAAATTAATAAAAACAATATAAAAGTGTTAATCTAGAAAAAGACCCATATAAAAGGAAATTTAAAGAACACATTGAAATCAAAAACACCCTAAAGATATCTTAAGTAATATTTCAGAATGCATGTCAATAGATCCCCAATGATATAAACTAATAGAGAGCGCCTCCATGCGTTAAAGATTGTTTAAAAGCACACCCCATTGTACGGAATGTTAGGAATGGTTTAGATAACATTACTTGTCAGTATACTATTACTCTGCGAACACCAGATAACACCACTAGTCAGTTTTACCCTGTTTTACCTTTTGTCGGAAATAATACATATTAACTGGAAATGTAAGTGTTCAGAGATACTCTGAAATGAATAGTCTGTATTTTATTTTTTATATAAATGATGTGTTAAACCAGCAATGTTTTATACATTTTTCATATTATAGAGAATGGTCATACACCTATGTGATAAAAATATAGTAATACAATTTTAAGATGTACCTTTATATGACATGTATGTTTACGATACGACTTGGCCGGCAAAGCCATCTTCAATATATTTCAAAAAACTGGGTACTTAATTATATAACACTCACCAAATAAACCATCACCAGTTCATAACCAAACAATGTTTGGTTATGAACTGGTGACGGTTTATTTGGTGAGTGTTATATGGCATGTATGTTTTTTATGTTATTGTTTACCCCCATTTTTATGTCATATTTGCCAATATCGTAAACCTTACTTTGTTTTCTATTTTTAACAGCACTGAAGAGGGGTTGGGAACATAAACCAATCCGAAATGCATTTGAATAAAAAATTGTTTTAAATAATCCATAATGTTTTCCTAACCGACTGCTGTTTGGTCGTCTAACAAGAATCATTTTTTGGATTACAAGGACGCTACACACAGAATTTGAACATACAGCAATCATACCTTCTACATTATGGTTTACTTTATTGGGTTGCAATTTTCAAATTGCTAGACCTATCCATTCCCATTTTATCCATCCACTATCTGTCTGTCCATCCATCTTTATGTCCATCTATCTGTGTCTGCCTGTCCGTCCGTCTGTATTGCTGTCCACAGACAGCCAATGGATGACAGTAGAAATATACAGGTCTTCAATTTGATTACTGCAGCCCAATAATCTCATCAATATAACATACATATAATTAATATACTAACTGTAATAGATAATTTCTATAAATTACAGTCAAACCTGTCTATAACAGAACATGTATATGGCAGAAACCTGTCCACTGCAGAAGAGTCATTTAGTCAGTTGGGGTTCCATTATAGACAGAGATTTGATTGTACGTGAAAAATGGACAAATTAAGTCAAATTAAAAACAGTCCATTTTACAAAAATAATATGCTATATCAACGATATACATTAAGAAGTGGTGTAATTTGAATTTAAATTAGTATAAGGTCAATTATAATGCAGTCAGTTGCATATACATAAAGAGAATTGTTCTCATTGCATAACATATAAAGAATATAAATCCTGGAGTAAAAGAGTTATACTGTAACGTTCCAAATGGGGTAAATATTCTCAATTGCATAATGTATTAATTGTAAGAGGCTAAAATACCCTCTTTGGCTTGTAACAATATAATTCTAATACTCTACAAATTAAATTTGGAGTAACTAATTTCCTTTGTATTCAAGGAAATGCTATTGTAAAATTTTGTGTTACGAATTCAGAAGGTGGAAGCAAAGAAGTTATATGTTTTGCTAGCGCAGCCACATGCCTCCATTGAAGCTAAAGTTACCATCTTACAAAAATTACTGTAAAATTGTTATTAAATAAATATTATATTTAATAAAGTATCTATTATTACCTTTATTTTCCCCCTAATTCATCACAAATATACAGATATGTGTATACGGATTCAGAAATCAAAAGACTAGTTTTTTGAAGTAAAACAAATTATTTTATTTTTGTAGTTAAATACAGTTATACACAGATACGAAATGTATTTCCTATTGTTAGTCATGACTAACGCGACTAATCAATCATCAATCAAAATATCCAAGACTAATGACTAATATAGGCAACATTAGTCGTTAGTCATAATATATTTGTCAACTAAAAAATGCCCAACATTGGCACCAAACATAATCTTGAGACCAGGATCAAGGGACATCAGTACACAGTACACAAAAATACAAACAACAAAATACTAGTGGTCTATGCCAAAAAACAAAGGAATATGGGGTTTATGGGAGGACACCAAGATAATTCAACCAGCAATAAGCAGTAACAACCTAAGATACTCAGAGATAGTGAAAATTTATAAGGCCCATAGGCCCATCAGAAACAGATATTTGCATTAACCACAGAGAAACAGACACCTTATTGGCAGTCTGGAGGGCTATTTACAAACTTTGATGCAGTATTATTCTGTTACTCCACACAATGTTTTGTTATATATATGGTTATATGTATTTTTTATGTATATTCTATTAGGTGTATTTCATATACATTTACTTAAGTTACATGTTATCTTTTTCATTAGTTTGTGTTAAATTTTAAAATTCATATTTTATTTTTTTCAACATTTAACATTGGTTATATGTTCAATTTTCTTAAGTTATTCTGATTTGTAATCGAGAAAGACCTAAAGAAAACAGAGATTGTAAGCATTACTGATTCATTAAATTTGTTTTCTGAATAAAAAGAATGTCTGTTATTTTGGTGATCCTCATCCAGCTTGTACATATATTATTCAATAAAAATAAAACCTGTACACAAGCACAAAATACCATAGTGGTAGCATTGTACTCTCTTCTTTAAGCAATTATGTCCATCAAATTTCTCATAACATTACACTTACGTAGTACATACCTCAAACCTAAACCATTCAGAATTCCATTGAGGATTAAGAGAACGTCTGTAAACTTCAGTTTTGAAGGTTGTATTTCCAAGTTTAATCTGAAAAACATTTTAGAAAATAATATTTAAGTAATTTTCTCTTGTAGAAATTCATATACAGATCAATAACCTGTAATAAAAAAATATAAACTAAAAATTCTTCAAAGGATGAACATAATACTAAATATAACCTGCATAAACCTGAAAATCTACAGCAGGGATCATCCCATTTTTTCAACAAGCCTCTGTGTTAAAAACATCGGTATGCGGGAAACATATTTGAGAGACAGAAGTTCTTGAAATTTTAAAGGTAAATAGAGCATGAAATTGCATTTACAACAATGAAGAAAAGACAATCTCTAAAGCATGGTAGGCATGCTTTGACAATACCCTGTTAACCACTTATCCATACATTGTATGGTACATGCATGACAGCCAATTTAAATTGTATTTGATCCAAAATTAAATTTTTCCTATTCAAAGAGTGAGCATGTTTCCATTAAGTTCTAATTTTCTGACAGATGTTTCAAGTAAGTTGAAAATGTTAGAAAGGTGATAATTTTGACAAGTGCTGGACTAATTTTGAAAATGGTGATTATACTTAGTACAATATAAATATCAGAAAAGGAAAAGTTCAGTGTTTAAGTCAATGTTTATAAGTGCGTTTCTCACTAATTGCATCAATGATTCGTACACTTAAAAACAACAACAAAATCTTTTTAATATTAAAACTTTTCAGATTTTTTTTCAATCTGAAGATGTTACAAAAGCAAATTTTAAATAGGTGCTGCCCTACTTAATAATAAGCTCTTAAATCCAACATATTTAATTTTATTCACCACTAATGTTTTTGGTACTTGTTAATGGTCTTCTTCGGGGTGTATGGGGTTCTAAGAGGGATAGTAACTTTTGAAAGTGTCAGCCGCACTGAAATAGTGGACACCGTAGACTGTTTCCCATGAGGATCCAACTCTCACTTATGGCTCCAAGTAGTTGGTAGTGTATGCCAACAGCCACAATCTGGGAAACCGCCTCGGTTGGCAAGCTAAACTAAGTGAGGGTATCAGTAGTGCCATCCACTACTGGTAGTTAGGGTGTGCCACTCTATAGTGCACAAAGTCTGGAATGGCCAGCATGGCAGAAGAATCTACTATCAAAGATCAATGGCATAATGGGCATGACAGCAAAGTAGGTGACATACTAAGGGCACATTCTTGGCATCCAAAGTGAGATGTGGCCAGTCACTGTGGAAGAGATTGGAGCCTCACCACATATCCTCCACCATAGTAAGCCATGAGAACCGCTACCACCAAAAGAATGAGTTATAGGGCAAGGTCAAGCCCCATGCAAACTATCTCTCTAACGAATGCTACAGGGAGGAGGAGTTGACTTCTGAGAATAGTAAGTTTGACTCTAATATTAGAGATTATGAAGAGGCCATCTTAATCCCACTTGGGAAAACGACATCAGAAATACCAAAACTGAAGACCAGGAATGTACTACTTAACATAGAAACTTGGAATGTTAGAACACTGTATAAACCGAGAAAACTTGATAATCTTATTCAAGAAATAAAGTCAATTCGGCTTGATGTTGTAGGTATTTGCGAAACAAGGTGGACAGGTTCAGGAAAGCTTAACAAGAATAAATATACAATGATATACTCAGGAGCAGAGGCACATGTAAATAGAGTAGCTATCATAATGAAGAGTAGTATAGCAAGATCAATAAAGGACTTCACTTAACTTTAACTTCATTTATTCCCGATACCGCCAGAGCATAATCAGGTTAAATACAGAAATATATCAAAGCACAGGTAAATACATATGTAATAACAGAGAGATAACATACAAACAGTATAACAATAGAGAAGAAGTAGGAACAGATGGTGAAATGACTGATACAAATCAACCTATATGATTCATAGCTTGAGAGTAGAATAACATGTACAGTAGTATAAAATAGACAATACTAATAGTAATAATAAGCATTACAAAGATATATGTTGCAGCAGAATGAATAATGATATATACTGTACAATAATGTGCAGGGAGCAAATGAAGATAGTGCCCAATAATAGACTTGACCAACTTAATGAATGACAGAGCGTGTGTGATATACTTATGAATCAATTTTTTGAATGCTTTGTAGGTGTCACTATCCTTAAGAAGGACATGAAGTTCACAAGGCCAATTAATACCCCTCTGGCTAAGAGTAAGGACAAGCTCATGCCTAGCATTCTCAGTCATTGGACACATGTATGTGAAATCCGGAATGTTTACCAATTTTTTTTTCCTAGAAACTAGAGTGGTAAACAACTTGAAAGAAGGAGAAATTTCAACCTCCCCTTTTTCCAAGGTAAACATTCGCTCATCTGGACAACTATTCCCACATTACAAACTTAAAAGTTGATAGTTAACATACGATTTTGTCATTTTATTTGAATTCCGGGGACAACTTTGACCTCCCAGCACACCTTTTACCTCACAACTAATTAGTCAAATGACAGTTTTCCCACTGCAAAATGATAAAAGCCACTTCTCTCCCACCTCCGAGGAGTTGCTGATTGACAGTAGAGAAGCCAAGTGACCTAGGATTTTCCTACAATTTTGTGCCCTAATTCGATCCTCGACGACTCGGTGGATTACCTTATTTTCACCAAAATATCCAAATACATAAAGAGGTATGGAACCAACTTCTGTGAATTCTCTCTTGGCCCCTTCGTGTTTTAGGGACTCAGAATTTTCCCTCGATAATAGTTATTGTACTGTCTATATAGATAACTAATAAATCGTTGTTTCCTGTTAGACTGGTGTTCTCTTTTACTCGTATATAACCTGTCACCTTACCGACAGCACTCCTCCCTCCTACACTCGACCAGACCCGAAAAATTAGTCCCGTTCCCTCGGGATAAATTAAAGAAAACATAAGCCAATCTGACTTGATTTCGTTTTAATTGTTGTCTGACAAAATAAATAAATAAATGCAATTTATACATGACAGCGTTACTTTGCATTCTTCTTTTGTTCTGATCAAAAAGATAAGATAAAATTTTCTAATTTATTACCATATAATAAAAAGATTAAAAGTATAAATAGAAAGAGTGACTTACTTCAACAAAGGCATCACAAGTGTCTCCTGCCCGATCCATAATGGGGAGACTTCTGCCTGCCACAATTCGCACTTTGACTTTGCCCGGCATCTCTGAAAAACAAAGAGGATTAATTTTCTTTTTTATCTGATTGAATTTAAATCATTAAAATTGTCTACAGATCTAACCAACCTTTACTAACTACTAAGGTGTTAAATTTATTATTAGACTATTAAATTAAAAAGAATTTTTTAATTTACAATTTTTGCATTTGTTGTCATTATATAAAACATGCATTCCTAATTCTACATATCTGCATTCTTTTTATATATGTTAGCTGTGTGTTATAATTTGAATATTATGAAATACTAGTTGTGCCATGCAAATCACTCACACATACAAAGTACTGAATGAAAAAAAAACTATTTAGGAAAATATTGCAACCATGTTGGACATAAATATAGGCTTTGCAGATTTCCTCAATTTCTATGCAAGTTTACTTTTATATTTTCAAATTAGATTGATGAAATGAGGCACTGCAACACTTGGACCATCAGCTAAGGGAAAACAGCCCGATTTACAATATATGTAGACACACAAAGAAAACCTAAAAATTTTATGTAACCAGCCCTTTGATCAGATGCAAACCCAGTGTTTAGTGATTTTATCCACTTAATTTATTTTTTGTTCAGTGTCAACAGGTAACAATCCTAGGCAATGTCATCATAACAGAATTACTATTTAAAAATACTAACTTTTGTTTGCTAGAAAACCAGCAAACAACAAAAGCAAATCAATAAAACTAACTCAATATCCAAAAACAATCAGTAAAACAAACACTCATTTAAAAAGCAAACATTTTCATCCATTTTTAAAAAGGCATCGTCAGGCTAGTGTTCTGGTATGGAATTGCACAATTTTCAAACGGTTCATAACTTCTATGTTGCCGCTGCTGATTGGTAGACACTGTACATGACCATTGCTGATAGGTGAATGTATTGCAAATATAATCTTACAGGGATTGTAAGATTTATGTTGGATGAATATATATTTTCCACAAATTCGGGATTTTATCATGTTTCTTATAGCTAATGGCCCATTTTCTTAAGGCTGCCATATAAGTTTCCATCAACTCAAGATATCTGAGGTATGTTCTATCTGCTGTTCTGTGTAGAATTTTGGTCTTGTTGAAATGGACTTCCATGTACAGGTCTCCAGCACATGCTGATAGGATAGTAGATCCGAGTTGTTTAGACACGGCCACTCTGTGTTCCTTTAGGTGAGTGGCAATATACAATGTATACGTCTATCAGTAATTGTCATGTATCCTCCAATCAGCAGCAGCAATGTAGAAGTTACAAACTATTCAAAAATCATGCAATTCCATGTTAGAACACCAGCCTAACAACGTCATTTTAAAAATGGATGAAAACATTGCTTTTCAAATGCATTTTTATTTTGCTGGTTTTTTTTAATTATTGACTTGGAAGTTTTATTAATATTAATCAGTAAACTGTTGCATCTTTTAAAAAAGCAAATCCAGCTTACAAAACAAATCAATGTAGAAAGTAACAATGCTACAAAATCATTTTGAAAACTTTATAAAATGCTTTATAATTTAGAAGTGATCACAGTTATTTATATTTAACTTTAAAACATTAAATGTTTTATATTTTGGTTATGAAATAATAATAATAATAATACCAACTATACTGGCATTAAAAGTATATCATAGTTTGTGTCTTTTCACAATACATTCGTACAGAGTAAGTGAAGTCTACAATGCTGCCTTAGAAGAGTCAAGGAAAGTGATTATTATTCTTTATTTGCAAAAAAAGATAATTTTTCAAGAACAAGTTAATAAAAAGTAAGAGTCAGAGCAAAAATCCTAAATCAGACATTTGATATAAAAGTGTAAATTGTAAAGTACAGTAGTTTATTAGAGCAAAGATGCACTATAGCCATTACTGTATTTATATATATAACAATTAACAACAAGTAGAGTACAAGATTAACAAGATAAAAAAAAAAAACTAACTCCACTTTCAAACTAAATACCATATTTCCACACATACAAGAGAATGCTGTTAGATGGGGCAAAATTGGAATTATATTCTGCAAAGTACAATACCTAAAAAGTTTTATAGTATTGTAAGCATTTTATTTTATTTTCGGTAATGGTTACCATGGAGATATCACTGAATAGTTACTATTTAATTTACAATAATACAGCAGTTCAGTGCTCTTACATGCCAAAAGAATCTGGCACACATACATACATACAAGAAAGACTTTGGCCATACATGAGGTATTTAGCCGGCAGAAAAGAGGGTAAGGGAAAGGGGAGGGGACGGAGGAAAAAGGAAAGAAGGATAGTAGAGAAAGGTAGAATCCGTCTGAACAGCGAACATATGGCTACAGTACCCTCCATGTTTGATAGTGGCGTGCAGTTTTTAGGTTGCAAAGCCATAGTCCCACGAAGGGTCCAAAGGAAAACCTGAGTGTAGCGAACTCAAATGATTCAGTGCTATATAAGAAGGTCAGGACACGTGTGACCCACTTCTTGAGCTGCCATTTTGGGGTTTTTTGAGTCGCACGTTTTAAGCAAACTTGTACGAGCAGTCAGTTTTATACTACATTAATTAAACTAAAATTGCATAAATCCAGTGATTTCCAGTCAAAAATATAATAATAATTTCGGACGATAACGCAACCCCAATTTTACGTAACATTTTCATCAAATAGTTTAAAAGAAACAATCATCCATATCATTCGCTGTCATGATTGAAAGTAATTAAATAGGTGCTAAAACTGATTCAATTACGTATATAGGCACTTGGTAAAGTGATGCTATAACATCAAAGAAAATTTAAAGCATAATAAAGAATATAATAATATAATGTAAGAAATTTATAATTATTTTTTAAAGCATTATTGGTTATAAAATTAAAATGAAATTCAATGATATTATTAATAAATGTTGTCAATGTAATGCTCATTTTATAATAAGCAATAGATATGTAGATATATTTTTAATTTATAAATAGCTTTCAAAAAATTCCAAAAATATAATTTTAAATTATTTGACATTAAACTGACAAATAATACTTGAATAGAATACAATGTATTCAAACAAAATATGAATATTTGTTGCCATAGCAAAATAATGCTAAAATTTTCTTTTTTACAATTAAATAGTCAATTTTACTTTAAATAAAACAAAAAATATCAATTTAATGTTGTTTGCGCATAATTTTTTTGTTTACACGTTCTGTATTAATAATAATATTTAAAGTTTATTACTAAAAACTACTGTAAAAATATTTAAGTCTTTCGCATTATATTTGATATATTTAAATGTAAGAAAAATATTAAATCATTACACTTTAAATCCATACCAGAAAAATGTCTCAAATGAACAATTCAGCTAAATTATTTTCACTAGTATTTTGAAAATGGATGTCCGAACACACAAGTATTTTAAACGCATCCAATCCTTACATTTTTTCTCTCTATAAAAAACAATTTATGTTACTCAAATAAAATCTGTTTTTAAATGTTCGGGATAAAAGATACAAATGATCGGTGACAAATAATTATTGCTATGCAAATGAAAAAATTAAATATAAATAAAATCAATTACATATTATAAAATCTCCAGATTATAAGAATTAGATATATTTACATTTCCATCATTTCTTTTAAAATAAAAATTCTAACAATAAAATTAATGTAAATTTTATTTAAATTGAATTAAGTAAAAATTACTATTATACTAAATTTTTTGTAATATTTTATTAATAAATATTGAGAGTATAAGTCAATACCATCATCATAATTTTATTTAAAAAACAATATGGTCATATTAAAACAATTACATGTTTAATTATTTTATCATCAAATAGAAAATGAAAAAATTACATCTGTTTTATATCTGGATCGCCAATGTCATTTAAAATTTCCATGTATAGTTCATTCGTGGACACGAAGAGTATCCACTCGTTTAAACAACTTGTTACAAACTTTACACATATAAACCCTTTGAACTGCATCGTGAACCATCCGTTGATGTCTACGCTACATTTTGCTTTCCTCTGCTTATCTGCAGGAAATCTAAACAATCGAACGTCTGTAGATTTACTTTTACAACTTGGTGTCACACAATAATCCATTGTTTAATGTTTTGAGTACTTATATATGTAATAATAGTCGACTCACGTAGTAACTACGTGTGGAGTGTAGTCTATCGATAAATCCCAAAATGGCCAATGCTTCATAGAATCACGGGAGCGTGTCCTGACCTTCTTATATAAACCTTGCCTAGGATGAACCTTACCAGACGACTAAAGCTAACAACCCTAGTCTAATTTAACCTAACCTATCATAACCTAACAAGAAACCAAACTGAGAGTCCCTAATCTAAGTTACAACTAGGACTAACTTAAACTAACCAAATTTAGACTGAAAGAGAAGACAGAAAAAAGAATTACGTACAAAGTTAAAAGGCAGCTATATACTGACAGTTGAAACAAAGCAAAGAAAAGCTAATTGCCATCTGTGAGTGCTCTCAAGAACCTCACTAAAGGATATGAATGCGAGTAGATGATGGAACATTGTACGCGTGCAAATAAGTTAATGCGGGCTGCAAGGCAAGTTGTACCGTTCAAGAATAGCAGCTCTCATTAAACTATCCCTAATGTGATTGTACCTATTGCAGCAAAAAACTAAGTGAAGTGAGTGGTGTTTGGTCCTCCTCAATACCACATTCACATTGTGGATTGTCCCCAAGGTTAAATCTATGCAAGTATTGCTCAGAGTTGCAGTGTCCCATAAGTAGCTGAGTGAAGGTGTAATTAAGGTAAAAGTAGTGAAGAATCACAGTAGCATCAACCTTGGGGATGAAAGTGTAGAAGAGCCTACCAGTAATATCACAGTCCCAGCTGTCTTGACAGAGAATGAAGATTTGCTTCTTGATGTGATTGTTGATGTACGAGATAGGAATGTAACTGAAAAGTACTAGTGACTGAAGACTTTGCAGCTTCTTGGCAGGTCTCATTACCGAGAACCCCCACAACCCGGGACCATTGGAAATCTATTCTAATGTTGTTGTCTAAGTGTCTGAGAATGTGGTGTATGAGATGGATAAGTTTTAAACAGCTATCAGACTTTGCAATCCTGTGTAAAACTACCCTACTGTCAGAATAAATGCAATAGAGTAAGTAGTGTCTTTTGTCCTTCCTACACCTAATGTGAATTAAGCTCATATAGATAGCTAAAGTTTCCACCTGTGCTATTGAGCAGTTTGTACCTAGACGGAAGCAAGCGTTGTGAATCTCGTGGCCTAAGTCGGGTAAACTACAAAAGCGGCACGCACATCATTATCCATCTTGAAACCGTCAGTGTAGATTGTAAACATGGGATGATCATCTAGATCTTCGAAGTAGACATCAGGGGCAAGCTGGTGAGAGGGGTGGTAATTGTAAGCACACTCAAGAACACGTTTTATATGCAAGATATGCTCTTATAACACTGAAGAAGGATGTGTGTTTCAAAAACAAAATCAAGCAATTTTAACATATAAGATCATGTTCTTATTTGCATGAAAATATGGTATTTAATGAACACTTTATAAAGTCTTATACTAAAATTCAGCTAATATTTAGAAAACATTTACTCAAATTATAAAAAAATGCCTAAATATCCACTGAAAATTTCTGTTTATCAGTTGTAAATATCATTCAAGATATTACAATACAAAGTAAAACAAATAGCAGGATTCAAAAGAAAGCTTTCAAACAACAATTGCTAATCTTTGCTTACAATCTTGTATCACTACACACAAAATTTATATTATTTTGTTGGATTTGTACAAACTAAAGGAATTTTACATTTCTAGGACAAAGGCTGCATTGTACTGTACATAATATAATGACCTACAAACAAGCATTCTTAAATTGATCAAGAAAAGAGAAACCAATGAATCTTAGCACCATTATTCTAAAGGGAAAGACCCAATCTGTTTTTAAGGTAATCAAAATTTGTTTATTTTTCTGAAAAACAAAGAAATTTTGGATCATAAGAAACAGATTCTCTCTCTTTCTTTAAAACAGAAAATGTTATCATAGTTCATTTAAGAATATATTACAAAAAAAAACAAAAATCTTTGCCAGTAGACCTCTCACAAATGAAAATAAAGAGATTCATCCCACCCAATCTTTTATAAAAACCATCCTATTATTTCAACTGTATGGCATGGAAACTCTTCCAGCCCCACTTAGAGCCTGATACTAAACTTAATAATTCTTGCCACAATACAAATTCACTCACTTATCATCAACAACTGCTCTAAATGAATCTTTCTCTACGTGCAATACTCGACTGCCTCTTTACCAAACTCATACACAAAGCACTCCTCGTTATCCACCAGAATAACACATGTAACGTCATATAATTTGTCACTGTAAAGAAGAAACAACCAAAATTTAATCAAGCAAAATGGTTTTAGTTTGTTAAAATTTTTAACAATTAATCAGTTAATTAATTGTTATTATCCATAGCACTAATTATATCATAAACATTTAAATTATCAAGGCACCTACAGATCAAGCTTTTATACTTCAATGTCTGAAATTTAAATTTAAAAATTTTTAAAATATTAAGTACAATATGTAAAAAACCTTTTTCAGTCACTAGAGGGCTCTGCCTTGTAAATGTAAATGTTTGGTTTTCTCAACAAGAACAAGACCTTCTGAGAAATCCATGCTTCAACACAAATATAGGAAGAGACAGGCTACTGATCTCATCACACAAATTTGTCATATCACCATATTAGAGTAAGGAATAAAGGGGGAAGGATTGTATTGGAGCAGTTGTAATGGCACTTTTACAACTAATAGCTACAACACTATATTGTATTTTACAGCATATAAGACATCACCATTTCAGCACAAATATTTAGTGTAAGTAAGTCATTCCATATCTTTGGCATTAAATACCAAAATGGTTTCTACTGTAAACAAAAAAAGTAAACTTAAGAGTACATATTTTTCTTTATCAGGAAAATGTGGAGTTTTAAAAAAGTCATTTACCATTAAAATATTCTACATGAATACATGCAAAAGCTGCTTATCCATAGCTATTAATAATAATGTTTAATTAATATAAATAGAAATATAGATATATTAACAACAACCATGGATAATCACTTAAAATCTTTCATGTACAGAAATCAAATAATTTTAAGGATGTACTTGTCAAATTGGAAAGAGTAACTGCTTATGTTTATAAAAATAGTCATCTAAAAAAATCATCATTGGAGACTTCAATATTGACTGACTGAAAGCAGAAGCTTTTAAAGTTAAGGATTTTCTTCACTTCTGTTTGGTACAAAACATGCTAATAGCAGCAGATTTAAAATGTCCAACTAGAAACACTATGGATATTGGTCCTTTTTAAACTATGTTCCAAATACTTTGACTAAAGTACAGTTTGAAGTAATCAAAAGAACTATATATACAGTAATCATCTCCCTCTCCCGATCTTTATCTTGAATAAAGATGCAGATTGACAGACAATTAGAAAACCTTCTATACTTATAGCTACAAATATTATCACTGCTTAAAGCTTTAATTTTGGTGTTCTTCTAGAATAGGGAATCCCAAAGTGGTCGATAAGAGTTCTCCAGGGGTAGATTAATACATGAGGGTCGAAAGGAGGTCGATTAATACCAAAGAGGATCAATTAAACTGTCTAGGAAAAAAATAGAATATTCCAATAAAAATTTGAAATACGGATATGATCAACATTACTGAATACCCTAGTTATAACTTGAGTTTTGCCTTAGTCTATGCCACTTTAAGCATGTGTTACTCTGTTTTCACGCATCTGGCAACTGTACTAGCATTGCAAACATGTTATGAACACTGGTAGTTCATTATACACACACATACATTGCACTGTTACACTCTAGTAGAGTTGTCACTTTAAGTATTTTATATCTAAATGTAGATATTTTGTCCTTTACAGAGAAAATATTGTAATATATTGAAAATCATTAATATAGTACAGAAGCTGAATTAATATGCCTCAATGTCCTTAATTTATTCAAATATTATTTCATTCACCAGTACAGTGTGTATTTCTATTAATATAACTTATTAAACCGGTTTAATAAGTCCTACTAATAGAAATACACACTGTACTGGTGAATGAAATCATATTTGAATAGTACAGAAGCACTTGCAAGGAAAAAAACATTACAATTGTTCAAGCTCGAACAATCATAATGGCCTTTCAAGTAAAAATGGAGCTATTTAAATCTTCACTGGCACGATCCAATTTTAAATATACACTACACTATCTAGAACCTGTAACCGGTGCTATACAGCTGGGTGGAGTTGGGTCCTACTATTTTTATTTTGATGTTGAGAAAATGGACCTCCTTTGTACTAGCTTGCTCCAGTTCAACCATCAGACCGAAAGGGTGGTTGTTGTTGATTCTGACAAAGGATGT